ATTGATAAACTTTTGTAACTCGCAAATCAACAACATAGTGGCCCATGAGGTTCCTTGAGCACTGAGCAATGCCAGTTTAATCTCCTACCTACATTGATAACCAATGCAAGGGGCACGTCTACACTGACCACTTTCTCCTCTTTTTTATTGCTTCAGGACAATAACTTTGCAGTTGTGGCTCAGTGCACACTCTGAACAGGCTCTGTGGGCTGACAGAGTATGAACTGGCTTGGAGAATTCAGTTTTACCATGCTACTTGAGTTTTTGTTGACAATAACCTAACCCAGCCTTTCTCTATAAGGATTCCATGCAACCTTGTGGTTCCTCTTGAGGATGTGAATGGTTCCTTGAGCAGTAAAGCAATGGCAAATTGATCTCCTAGCTCTTCTGGCCACCAATGCAAGAGGCAAGTCCAGGCTGCCCACTTACATTAGGGGGACTATCGCTTTTTTTTTCTGTTTTTAGAATCCATTTGATCTCAAGATTATTACTGAAAATGGTGTTGTACAGAGCAGAGAGGTATAAAAATTTTTTATCTGCCATATTATTTATTCTTATATTTAAAATGTTCAGCAATTTAGTGATCACACTAATGTCCCACGAATTGTAAGTACCGTAAATAAATTCCCGACACCTGAATAAAATTTCATGAGTTTCTCAAGAATAAAAAGGTTGAAAACGGCTGACCTAACCCCTTGATATAGACACACTTGGAACTGAGGAAGACAAGCTCATTAGCGCTGCACCAAGATATTTATACAATGCCTAGTTTAGATGCCATCATCTTAGCCCGAGGATGGCTACATCTTTCATATCACTACAGCACAGATGACCTGCTTCCTTGTCCTGGGTAACTGTCTCGTACTGAAAGCTTAGGAAATTAATAAATCAGCCAGAGAAACATATAAAGAAAAAGGACAGTGGCAGCAAAGGTATTTCTCCCAGAGTGATTCAGTTTGGAAATTTGTTGTGGATAAATGCAGATAAATAATATATAGCTTGGCCAGAAGAAGATTTGTGCGCATCATAATCCTGTCTCCTGTATCTTCAGACCAAACACAATTGATATGGAGCACTTGCAGGTAGAGCGAGCGGCTCGCTCTGTTTTCCATTGGAAAGTCCTTGTGAGGAAACGTGCAGATAGGCGGGCGCATGCACCTTAGGGAACAGTGTGGAGAGAGACTCAGAACACACGGATGGCGTCTTTGTATATGCGATTGCCTTTTTCGGCTATTTGAGTGGATTATATTTTTTTTTAATAAAGTACGGTTTTGACATACTATGTGATGAGGTCCTATCTGTTTTCTTTGAATATATTGGAAAGACTGGTGGAGATATCCTGAATTGTTACTGGTATTATCAAAGGAAGTCATACCCGGGATTGAGGTCTGATTCTATCTACCGTAGTGAATCGAGATTGAGAGGAAAGCAGGAGGTTTAAACTGCTCCAAAACGCTATATGACCGTCCTGTAAAAAGGGGGTCACTCAAAGCGGTGAGTGTGGATCCTGCCTTATTCGTTTCACTGAGGGTGGACAGGAGCACTACAGGTGGCACTGAAGATTGACGTTTTTATTTTCTTTCATTTCATTTTACAAACCACGGTTCCAGATCTGAGAGGGTAACATTTGGACTTTCTTTGATTGCACATGTCACTTTTTATGATGTCAATTTTTGCACAAGTCATTATGAACACTACACAGTGGATGGGTTTTATTGGATATTCTTATGTATATGCACATTCGAGCACCTAAATTAAAGAACTGAGCACATTGTGTTGCACTAGGCACTGTATTTAAGAGTTTTCTTATATTTTAACCTGTTAAGTGCAGTGCACTATTCATTTAAATTAAACAAAAGCGTAACTTCTGCAGAGACATTCCGATAAATTGATAAATTTCTACTGCCAGTAACAAGCACTCACAACCCTCGAGCATTCCTATCCTTGTTCATCTGTTAACACCTGAACTTCCTGATCATTAGAAGTATTGCTCTGACCAGTCTCTTAACTGAAGCCTGTACTAACAAACTACATAAACTGCCAATGCTGCACTCTCATTTTGAAAATATTGCCTGGCCTTAGTATACAGATTTAAAGGCTTTAATATGTTTTGGCCCAGATTCACATCTGAGCTTTTGTAACTTGAAGATCAAAGCTCCAAAACGCTCAACAACCAAAACCATATGATTTTAAATTGTGCCTGTCCGCATATGAGCACTCAGGCACCGTTAGTACGATACCTGAAGCTCAAAATGGTACATGAGCTGTTTTTGAAGCAGAATGGGTCATCTGTGGCACCATAGAGTTCATAGAGTTTTTTTTTAAAGCCAAACAACTATCTCCTTCTCCTAGTATCTAGCTTTCCATTGGCTAAAAAAAAGTCGCTTAAGCCTGAATGCACCTGAAAAAAACATGCAAATTTCTTCAAAATGTCCTGTAAACACTCACGTGTGAATGTCCCCCAAGAGTTACTGACCAGGAACATTTACGCAGATTGAAAATTCTCCCTTTTCTCTGACTTCCTAGCTGAATGCTTGTTATGGGTCAATGACTCAAAACAGAGTGAGACCCAGAGACAGCCAGACAACTAGCATTTTCAGAAGGATGTCAGCTATGGCATTCTCCATATTTCCCCCAGAGTAGGTTTCTTTTAATTGCACACATCAGGCTGTACGGACAGCCAAAACAATGGCTATTAATCACACTAACAATTTTACATCAAAGTGTCAGCAGATAGAAAAATACGCTTAGATTTGTGCCACTCTCTTCAGATTGCATATCCCGGTGTTCTCAGTGATGGCTCTTTCATAAGAATGCCTATAACTGAAAAGCTATCCATCAGCCAATCACCACAACAAAGAAATGTGGGCTTTCTAGAAGCTCAAATCACTAATTACTTTTCCCCTTTAATTAAGCCTGACTATAATAAAAGGGGATTTTTGGTTACATTACCAGACACTTTACCGTGAAAAGCAGTCAAGAAGTCCTGAAATCAAGCTCCCTGCTGAATGTTGCAGAGCTACCTTACACAAAAATGTATAGGAGAAAATTACTTCCTTATCTGCATTAAATAATCGGCTTTAAAATGTGCATTTAATGATATTCATTTATTCAAACATGCAAACAAAGCAGGTCGGAACAACTGAAATATACTGCAAGGATTTCGTACTCCAAAAAAATATGATTACACTGCACATACATTCAGGAGGAACTGTAATAAGGCTTATTAAATACAACATGTTTAGCAATAATAATGTTTAAAGGGCAGAAGGCAACTACAGCAAACCAAGTTCAACCAAGAGCGCGGGAACACTTCCTCATTCAGTCACCTGACTTTGAAAAGTCTCATGAACAAGTGTAAGGAACCTCCCTGTGTGGTTCTGCTGTAGGATGATCTTAACAGATTTATTTTATTATTTTAAATTTAAAGAAATTCATTAAATAAAAAAAGTCTAGCCAATCATCTGCAGTCACTGTTCAGGTATTCTGGCAGCCACAAGAACAGACTGTTAGAAAAGAAGTAGAAAACAACTAGTCAGCAACGAAGATTCCTCCATCTACACTGATTAGCATGGATGGGGCATTGAGTGATCATTCAGGTTTAGCTCATGGGGCTGCATGACAAAAAAAATAAAAAATCTTACGTGTTTGGCCAGCTTTATACCTGCAGTAGCTTTCATTACCACCTGCTTCTCCCAAATGCTGGGTTGTTTTGACAGTGCTGTGCTTGAATAGCTCTTGTGCTGAAGCCACCTGCATCCTAGCAAAAAAGGACTCTGGGTAGCTCAAGTCACCGGCATCCTAGCAATGAAGAACTCTAGGTAGCCCACGTTGTCTGCATCCTAGCAGCGAAAAACTCTAGATAGCTAAAGCTGTCTGCATCCTAGCAATGAAAAGCTCTAGGTACCTGAAGCTGTCTGAATCCTAGCAATGAAAAGCTCTAGATAGCTCAAGCTGTCTGCATCCTAGCAATGAAGAACTCTAGGTAACTCAAGCTGTCTACATCCTAGCAATGAACAACTCTAGGTAGCTCAAGCTGTCTACATCCTAGCAATGAAGAACTCTAGGTAACTCAAGCTGTCTGCATCCTAGCAATGAAGAACTCTAGGTAGCTCAAGCTGTCTACATCCAAGCAATGAAGAACTCCAGGTAGCTTGTAAAATACAGTGCATACACAGGACCTCAGAAGCAGATTTTTCTATTTTGATTTTACCAATCTGAATGCAACACAAGTCTACTGATCTTTTGGCACGGTGTGCATAGGTCCTGTAAAAACAATACAACTGCATTCAGATCCGTAATAATAAAAAAAAAATAAGAAAAAAAACATCTGTACTGATAAAAGTAAATATTTTCTTTTAAGTTATGTTCATGAGCCCTTCCCGTTTTATGATTCACCTCCTTGCTCACTAGACAATGAATCAGTAGTGTAATGATTCATTGTCCAATGAGCAGCTTGAAAGTGAAAAAAAAAATGCAAGATGCTGCAGAGCTATACCAAGAAATTGGAGTACCACCTTCTAAGGCGTTTCAATCACAAAACTGACTAAATAGCATTACAAATCCTTTGACAGGTAAAACAGTTCAAATACATGGATTTGAACTTTGTACTGTTTAGTTTCACTTTATTGGTCAAAAATCACAATTAAGCAGTTAGTCCTTCTTTCCTGACAGATATCTTCTATTGCTGCCTTTGTGAACTTTAGGCTATGGATAAGATTCCTGTAATGTCAATAGGTATTACGTGACACACTTACTTTCCTGGGCCGATCTTAGAACATGCGATCTTAGAGGACTCCTATTATGCTCTCTAGGACGACACTTACTGTACATTACACAAACATGGGAGTCATATCTACACCCACTGATTTTCCCTTAAAATGAAGGCACACGTCAAAAGGTGACATGATGATTTTTAGGATCATACATTCCCAACTTTTTATTGAAATGACGCTTCCATTTGTAGAGGAGTGAGCATTATGATGTAGAGAAGGACTTACCCTGACCCTGCTGCCACATCAGGTCTTGCCGCCACTGGGCTCTTTTCTGTCTGCTCTTTCCCCTGCTGCTTGATAAATTCCTTGGCTTCCTTGGATGAGGAGTCCACTTCCTTTGTCACCCTGATGAGAATACAGAGTACGTTGTAAATAAGGTCCTTCAAGGACGTGAAAAACAAAACACCTAACATCCAGACTCCTATTTCACAGACACTCAAATATCTTATTTCATGCAGATTGAAATTCTACACATGAACCTTCCATTCATCTTCCCTGCGCAGTGCAGCAGTGAATTAAGAGACTGTCTCAGATGAAAGACTTCGTACACACGGGGGATGAGTGGTCTAATCGTCCAGCTTGTCTGACCATCACCATGCCTAGATATGGGTTTACAGCCCCGTTCACAGACATGGATCAAACTCATAGACCAGCTTATGGTGAAGCAGGGCAAGAAGGGGCAGCACCAAAGTACGTTCACATTTTGTGATTGTTCTACCCACATTTGGCCATTGCTGAATGCTTGTAAGAACATTTAAAAGCAGGGCTAAAGGCAAAAAATTAAAATACTGCAAAGACTAAAAAGAATGACTAAGCCCATTATGGTAAAACATGTCAGAGTGAAGAGAATCCACGACCGGACGATGTGCACCTGGGTGCTACATTAAATCTTTCAGCAAAGTTTGCGGTGTGTGACAGGACTTTTTTCTGTGAGTAACTACTGCAAAGAAGTGTCACAAGAATTTCTGAAGCTCATATAACATGTGATCATTGTGTCTTAACACATACTTATGGGAGACAAAATTAGGGAAATCATCACTTATGTGTCTGTAAGGGAGCAGAATCTTTATTAGAAGTGGGTCAGCAGTCCAGATATAAATGTTGTGTTTTTACATACTTGCCCTTTGTATCCTTATTTTAAATATTTATTACAGGTATTTATATGGTGCTGCCCATTAATGCAGCACTTTACATACTATTCATTCACATCAGTCTCTGCCCTTTATGAGCTTATACTCGAAGGTCCCCAATATCATATGCACACATACACAGGCCAGTTTAGACAGGAGCCAGTTAATCTGCCATCATGTCTTTGCAGTGCGGAGGAAACCTAAGCAAGCACAGGGGGAACATGCAAACTCCATGCAGATAGTAAACCTGGCCAGGAATCAAACCAAGGACCCCATTGCTGCAAGGCAGACGTGCTAACCACTGTGCTTGTGTTTTGGAAGCACTATTAAATGTAGAGCACTAAAAAAAGGTAGAATTCCTACATATAGTATGAATATAACTTGCCTAGTTTTCCTATGCTGCTGACCTTGGCAAATCCCTATAGTTCCACTATGAACATATAAATTAAATGAAAATCCTAACTAAATTATATTTACAAGGTTATTCACTAAAGGGTGAAGAGTTTGGAAAAGGCAGGGGAAGGGAACAATCTAGCACAATATAGCTGAACTGGAAAGTGAGCTGAATTGGAGAATTTTTCCAGTTCAGCTATGTTGTCCTAGATTGTTCACCTCTCCTGCCTTCTTCAAACTCTTCACACTTCAGTGAATAACCCTGTTAGTCTTCTAAATCCCTTGTATCATAAATGGTTGATTTGACCTTTTTTTACATCAATTATTCCATCTCAGTTTTCCTGAACTCGTGCAGCCTTTTTACAGTCACTTCCTGTCTAAATGCACTCCAATGATGACTGGGTGGCATTTATAAGAGTGCGTTTCCTGATGGTGCCCATAGTAGAGTATGCAATTGTGTGATAAAATGGACACCTGTAGTCTCCACTGTAAGCTGGGGTGACGGGCCATTGGGAGACAGGAACAGAGCGTTGTCACCCCGTAACAGGAAGGGCCCAAACAAGTGCCTTCCTGGCAGGATCAACTAGAATGACACATACTTAATAACCAAATTAACATTTTGAAGAATATATGAGATTTTAGTGACTGAATTTACATATATTAAAAAGGAGTTGTAAAGTCCCAACATAAACTACCCTGTTATAACATCAGCATTGTAATAGGAATACATACTAGAGTTGGTTTTGCAATCAAAGTTTACTTCAAAAGATCCCTTTCATGTAGTGAGTGCTGCCTTCCATCTGCCCGTTACGTTTAACATCTTCCTGGATTTCCAGCGCACCTTGCATCTCTTTCCCTGCTGCTTGATTTAATGCAATCTCAATTTCTCAAGACCACACATCCCATCATGCATTGCTTCTAGCAAGCAATAATAACGTTACAATGTTCAGAAGATGAGAGTGGGGACAACCCGAAGAGCATATTCACAGAGCGGAGTGAAATTGTGTCAGTTCACTGAGGAAGTACATTCTATGGACATCTTCAAAAAGTAAGTTTACAAACGTCGAGATCAATATGGGTATTAGGAGTGGGGTAGAACATATGAAAATTCAATATACAAATACATATTAATTTGTAGTATTGACCTTAGATACCCTTTAATCTTCAGTAAAGGTTAGCTTAAAGAAATCAATATTACGTGCACATAGCCCAAGCTCTGCATTCATTCATATTTGTTTAAAGCCTAAGCTGATTTTTGCAGAAAATGCTTTGCTCTAAAGCTAGGGCAATAAAGCTATAATGTAATAGCAGGGATGCGCCGAGATGATGGATTCATATGTATACTGCCTATTGCTACCCTCAAAACTAAGATGGTGGCCTCAAGAACCAACCACAGGCAATCATTCTGTGGGATCACTGCAATATACTGATATGCAGTTGTTTCAGCCGGGCATATGTGTTCTTGCATTACGTTTGGTTCGGATCCTGCCAATTTTGTTAGAACGATAGCAAATGGAGACATCTAATTTGGATGATTCTCTAAGATTTGTCGGCCAAGTGGTGTCTGCAGAGTAAACGCAGACATATATGATTTTTCCCCCCAATCCAACTGTAAATGAGTGACCTGGCAAGGATCATCCAATGTTTATGGCTGGTCCAAGCACAATTGAGAAAATTACCAAAAAAATAACATACCAAAAAGTATGATCACACTGTATACATTGGATGAAATGGAGTATACATTGGATGAATTGGATTCCCAACTGTACAACCAAAGGAAGCATTCAGGAATAATGAGGACGCCTACTTGAAAAAAAAAAGTATTTTGCGCCTTTGCTTGTTTCCATGTGCACATTAAATAGCAAAATGCTTCCTGGGAATATGATGAAAGCTTCACTTTAAAGCAAAGAATAGTCATTGCTGACCATGCACTAGTTGCCTAGCAACACAACACAAGTGTGACATCATTACTCAACCCCATGAGGTACCTGGATAATTTAAACACTACATCACTGAGAATTTTCATAAGATCTAAATTAAAAGCATATTGGAATGTAAGCCTGGCAGCTGCAGAAAAAAAACACAACAGGCAAAAGCAAATAGTACAGTTTATTAAACAGATGGACTCAAGCTATAGAAAGCACCAATGACCTTCCATCTGATAAAAAGTGAGAAATATCAGCTGATGAGGTGTGGAGATGAGAAACTAATATGTCAGAACAGCCATATTTAGAAGGAAGAAGCTGTCAGAATACAAAAGTGACAGCAGGAGATTCCCCAGTGTACTGCCGTATGTTACTATATAAAGAAAAACCCCAAAATTATGCTCACAACCCATTATGGGCTGTATATCCTGGATGTCAGCTGCCATTCTTCCAGCAGGGCTTAGTTAGATGACAAAATCAACAATCTGGCTGTCTGCTTTGCACAATACACACCTATTTTCAATGAGCATAGCTATAAATTGCATGTCTTTACGGTTGGAAGCAAGTCTTTGCTTTGCCCAAATAAATAGTTCTGTTTAAGTCTGCCCTCCTCGGATCACATGCTTCTTTGCGCCTTCGACTCTTCAGATGACATTACAGTGAACCTGTTGCTTTGCCTTTTGCAGGTGTTGCTACAAGTATATAGTAACAGGTCCACTTTAAAAGACGATATACCCAAGAATGACAACATCTGGATTCCAGATTTGATATGAAAAGCAAAGCTTCGCACAGTCACAAGCTGGTTACAGAAAGACAGAAAATATAAAGTACATAGCAGGTCCAATGCTACTCCGTGTGTGGGAGAATTATACATTAGACACCTCTGCTGGTTTCCAAATCCAGCATAGACTTGGAAATTAATGTTTGATTTTCCTAATGATTCACGTCAGTGGTGAGTCTAAACAATACCCTAGAGAAAGAGGCAAGCTTCTTGGCTTTGCGGGAGCCCAATTCTCACTGACATAATCAGCTGGCACACAGGATGTGACCCCTCTTGTTCTAAGTGATGGGCCTCCTCTGAAGACAACTCCCAAATACAGGAGGTGAAAAATGATCATCAGAAGGGGCAAAACACAGCACATTTGTTACAAAGAGGACCTAATAACCCCCTTGCTGCCAGCACTGTCCGACCAGATTTTTGCTGGACGGTTACCATGCATGTTCCTATAACAGGCCTCTTGAATTATTATGTTAGTCAGAGTCAGGAAGTCTGGAAGCTGAGAATTTATGCAATCAGTGGACCACTTCCATGTAGAATGGATTTCTATTCTAATGACAGTGCTCCGATGCCACCTAGAGGGCAATTAAAATAATACAGCCCAAGAGCTGAATTATCTATTAGCCACTCCCCAACCATAACATGAAACCTCAGTCGTCCATAGACTTAAAGCAGACCTGGGCATTTAATGGCCTGCAAGCCGTATTCGGCCCTTGGTCTGTGGCGGTCCTGTGCGCCAACCTGCGCTCCGTTATGGGTGGCTGACAGCTGATGCACCGGCATCCACGGCCGGTGCATCCACTGCAAGCCATAGCCTGGTGCAGGTCGGCGATCGGGCTATTTCTAGACCGCATTTCCATTCAGTCCTTGGTTGCTAGGACCACTGGCGTCCTAGCAATCTATGACGTCAGGGGGTCCTCCTCCTTTGCAGTCATTGACTGCTAGGACTGCTGGGTGGTCCTATCAACGAGGGAGACATGTAACCATTGCGTCCTTGCAGCTCCCGCCGTGGCCTGCTAAAAAATAAAAATGGTATGCTCTGGAGCCTGTCATCTGTGTGCGTTGGACGCTCGTATAGTGTTTGAAGTTCCTGCCCAGTAGCGACTAATGTATGGTATTGTGCAACACGCCTACCGTGAGTTACAGTGTGGCAGGTGTGCTGCATTCACTACTTTTTTTGAAATGCTAGCAATGCACAGTATCGTGGTCAGGTGGCCACTAAAAATATTTTTTTTAAACATTTTTCTTATCTTTTAGATGTTCCTTTTATGAAGGCTTTTGTGCAGATTTCAGGCTACTCTAGCAGTTTAAAAGTGAAATTAGAGGGACAGACTGAACTTCCTCTCATATGGAAGGCTGTGCATACTGAACATATGGAAAACACAAAAAAGATAAAGCGCACTCCTGTGGGCAAACTTCAATAGGATGGCTGTTGTTTGTAGGTGTGCAAAGCTCCTCATTACAGGGAGAGGACCCTGTCTATTAGCAACTACAGATAAAAACTCAAAAGGACAGGAGCGCAACTACCAGAAGTGACGTGAATGAAGTCGATCTAGTGGATCTATGTGATGGGGGATGTTGGTGGATTTTGGTGTGTAGAATCTGGGTGTATGCCTACTGTTAGAGCAAGCTGACTTACGGTTGGAAGCTTCTCTGTGGTCCGTGCGGCGCCCTCCTTTGACAGATCCTGGGTAGAAGAGACCCGGTGGTGTCCCCGGTGGTATGAGAGGCTGATCTGTTGGGGGTGCGTATCAGTATGGCCGCCCGCGTTCTCGGCTGGCCGGGCCAAGCCGCGTCGGTCAGGAACGGAGACAGAAATTGGGAGAAGCTATACCCGGCTGGGGAACGCCGTGCGCCGTATGTCGAAGTAGATCACAAAGTCTGTGACTGTCGGGTGTCTCCAGTGGCTACGCGTTTCGAGGGTTAACCTCTTTTTCAAGCCTCAAAACTACTGGAGATCGTGGGAATTCTATCTAATTTTAAATGTGACAAGGGGGAGGCGTGTAATTTCCTTGAGCCCGGTGATAGGCTGCAGCTCGCATGAGGGGAGTGGATTAGTAGTCTGGGTCCACCTTGAGTGCGACCTGTCAATGCTCGAGCCGGTGTAAATGTGTGTCCTTTATTAACCCTTCTTTCTTATTCGGGGTTGTCATTTGATCTGTATTTATGTGCCTTGATCTGTATTTATATTACACGCCTCGGTGTCGGCACCGATACTAGTAGTATCTGTATATCCCTAGTTATAACCCTCTCTTACTCTATATACAAATCAAAAAAGTTTTGGCGTCAGTTCTAATTTAATAATACAAGTGCATTCATCCAGATTGTACAGTGATATTTAGAGCTGCAGCTAACGATTATTTTCATAATTGATTAGTTGCCTGATTATTTTTTCAACTAACCAATTGTCTCTCTCTCTCTCATATGATGAGAATAATTGCCAACTATTCTCATAATCGATTTTTATCTAGTTAGTCGATTAGTTGTTGCAGTCCTAGTGATATTACCCTGAGCTTTCAGATTACTGAGTTAATTAGAAAAAATATATAAATATCAATTTGAGCTTGGCTAAGTCATACATACAGTACAATCACTAATAATCTAGCCCATTGCTTCAACAAAGTCTGCCCTATAAACATACCATATAGCTTAGCATCTATTTAACTTTTTTCCACAATTCAGACATTAAAGCTAGTCACAAATGTATCACAGTTTGGCTGATTCCTGATGAATTGGCTGAAATTCAATACCTTGGTGGCTCTGTTGACACCACCCAGTGTGGTCAAAGGAGCTGTTTGGAAAACTGTCAGCAATCGGGTCTCTGTTCAGGTATTTCGACAGCTGCAGACGCTGGCTATCAGAATACGATAGACACGCCAGGTGTAATTTCCCCATCCACACTGTTTAGCGGGGCAGAACAAGAAAAATCCTAAAGTGTATGACCAGATTTAGTATTCTTTTATGAACATACATTTCATGGACGTCTTTCTCTTATGAAAAAAAAAAAAGGGAAAGAATCTTTATATTGAATACGGCTACACACATCACCCAGCATGCTGGAAATCTTGGTAACTGCTGATACAGACCATAGACGTTCCCTTAGTGCTTAATCTCCTCTGAGGCAGAACACTAACCAATATTCTACACATATTGGAATCTTGTTGTGGTTGAAACTGGCAAGTTTTTAGCCAGCATTGCATTAGGAGGATAATTGATCTCACTGCTAAGTCTGGTTTACACGGTTGTGCTGCATGTTACCACAATGCGTACATATACTGTATATGTTGATGCCATTCATTCTTAACGGCACCCTAATGCACGTGTGTTGCAGCATACAACAAAGCACAGTAATACACTACCGTACATTGTGGTGCACTGTGTAAAATGAAAATAAATCATGCATGCACCTTTTTTGCAGCGTTTAGGTGCATTAGGGAGTTTTCAATGAAACAGAAGCACCTATTAAACAAAAAACAGCACTTCAGCACAACATGCAATGATGAACACATACGTTGTGGTGTGCTAAAAATGAAAAAATGCCAGTGCACATGTTGAGAGCCCATTTACCACAGAGATAAGCTTTGTACTCACCGTACTTCTTCACCAGCAAAATCAAACACCTTTGTGATGGTGACTTTTTTGGAATCTTCCTTAGCCTCTGTACTTTGCTGTGGAGGTGTATTGGATGCCTTGGGTTTTTCTGGTTCGACCTAAAATAAAGATACAAATAGAGTAATAAATATAGAGTGAATGCAAAGAGCATAGAGTAAAAATCCAGAAAAAAAAAGGAGAAGGTACATTAAAGAAGTTTACAAAGCACACAACATGCCATATGCTATGTAATAAACATCAAACGTAGAAGGGTTTAAAGGAGAACACTTTTGGTAACCTATTATTGATACACAAGCCATTTTAAAGTGATATTAAAAGAGAACTATGGGGTAAGTGTTTTTCCCCACAGGGTCACGGGAGGACATATACTAGTTTCCTTCCGTGACCCAAAACTCAGTATATTGCGAGCTATAGCTTGCGGTATACTGAGAGTGCCGCAGCCGGGACAGATCCCGACAATGCTGTTGAGATCCACCCAGCTGCGTGAGTGACAGCTGGCTCTGCCTATCTAGAGGTAGAGCCAGCTGTACACGCCCCCTCCCCTGTCCGTTTCTCCACTCAGCGCTGGAGGATCGGAGCGGGGAGGAGGGGAATCCTTGTGGGGGGCGGTGACTGACTCACTGGCTAATGTGTTACAGCTTAATTGTCACACGTCGGCGCGAACTATGAGGATGAGCGATTTTCACTCACCTCATAGTTCTCCTTTAAAAGACAAAAGTTTTTATAAGATATTTCAACTGCTGATGAAATCACTTACAATGAATGCTGCTCATTGATGTTTAAAAGTTTTAGTTTCCTGCAGAATTGGGTGGTCGACTGAACACTGACTCTGATATTATTATTATTATTATAATACAGGATTTATATAGCGCCAACAATTTGCGCAGCGCTTTACAATACAGGGAAGACATTACAATCACAATACAAATCAAGACAAGATGGTAAGGAGGGCCTCCTGTTTTATGGTGACTCCTTTCTTTTGCAGGTTCCTATTGTGTTTTTTGTGACTGAATAAAGAACCCTAATTTGTGGATTTGAAGAAGAACTCAGGGCACATATTTTATTAACAATTGTAGTGGGGCTACACTTGCACTGCAAGACTTAAAGTGATATTAAAGTCACCCCCCAATGCTGCTTTAAGGACTTACCTTAAGGTCTTGTTCACACCTAGGCGTATTGCATATGCGCGACCGGCGCGCGTTTCTTTACCGCGATTCGCGGTAAAAAAGTCGCGCGACAAACGCGCGTTTCCGAAGGCTACTTGGCTGTATCCCAATGGAAACGCGCAACAAAACGGCCCAAAGTAGTACATGTACCTTTTCAGGCGTGGGCCGTTTTGTAGCGCGTTAGGGACGGGCGGAAATACGCCAAGGTGGGAACGAGACCATTGAATACAATGGGATTTATATTTTTGAGCGTTTTGTAGAGCGTTCGTCGAGCGTAGAACGCGCTACAAAACGTTCAGGTGTGAACGAGGGCTAAATGAAGCCTCTTAATCGAATCATCTACTTTGTTTCAGTATTTTTCAGCAGTGAAAAATCTTTACTAAGCATGCACCCGCAGTGGGGAGGAGAGAAACTGCGACAGCCGACCGAGCGCTGCGGGAGGAGAGCGCTGTGAGCGGCCGGCATCTCTCTTCCCACACCACTCAGTCTCCTATCACAGATCGGTAGAGCGATGTGTGGGCAGAGACAGCCAGCGCTGTCACAGAAGGCTGAGCTCCTCTCGCTCAGCCTTCTGTGACAGCGAGTCAGGAAGAAGAGCAGTACAAACACTCAGTGATCAGTGATTGCTGAGTGTTTGTAGATAATTGAGGACATAGTATGGTTACTATAGCCTCAATTATGAATGAATGGGAAGTGATCTACATCCCTCCTGTTCATTCATGATTGTGGATATAGTAAACATACTCTGTCCTCATGTTATGAATGAACAGAAACACTCAGTATGGAGGATACCTGTTCATTTATAACTGGGGCTGCAGAAAAAGAGACTGAGCACTCTATGTTCTCAATCTCTTTTTCTATTTTAAAAAGGGAAATATCAGGGGTCTGTTTAGATCACTAATATTTCCCCGACGCCCCTAAAAGTAAAGTAAAAAAGAAAAATATTATAGAAATATTATGGAAAATGAATAAAAATATCAAAAAATTTAAAAGTTTATAAAAAATAAATTTTTAAAAAATATTCAAAAACGTAAAAATAAAAAACATTTTCGGTTTTGGTCTAACATTTTTTTTCATTTCGGTTTCGTTTCGGTTTTTAAACTTTCATTTCGGTGCACCTCTAGTAATAACACAAGCATGAACAAATATGACATTAGGCAAATATAATGACAACTCAAAGTAGCTGCTCATTAAAAACCAAGCTATAATTTCCCTCTAAGGATTGGACAACAGAATCGATTGCCTGTCCGAGAAAGCCAAACACTACTGCAACAAATAATTTTAAAATAGCTTATATCTGACTTGGAAATCAATATGGATGACAAGCCTTCAGCATTTTCCTGTCCACACATCAATAACAAACAGTTGTGGTTTGAAAATTCAATACACAAACTGGACATTCTCTCGGTGGGCGAACAACAGAAAAAAGTGACAACCTAATTTGAAGAGTACTGGGTTAAAAACTAAGTTCACTTATCCCACCCCTTTTACTGAACAGAGCCCACCCTACCCCTCTGTCTGGAGCTAAGCTTTAAAATGACACTTTGCACTGAAATTCAGTTTCATGTTTAAATTAGAAGTATTGGGGGAGTAAGATATTTTTCTAAGAGCCCGTGGACGTGCGTCATAAAACAAACTTCCCCCTGTGAACGAAAAAAGTGAACCGTGAAATCACAGCACACAAAAACGCGCACAAGGGTGCTTGGTCCTTCCATAAAGAAGGGACCTCGAATTCCCGACCCCCCGGGGCGCAAGGCTCCTGACAGGGGTTGAGATACTTTGGTCCACCAACCCGAAGGCTGGCGGACCCCGATCCTTCGGGGACCTGCCGAAACAGGTCCCACCCAGTACTAGATAGGGGGCTCTCCCGGGAGGAGGCAAAGAACCCTATATTAGGGCACAGAACCTCCTCCCCAGCATCGGGAATAGGCCCCGAAGGTACCTGCACCCTAAGCAATCTGTGGGTCAAAATAAGAAAAAAATTAAAAAGTGCCAAATCGTGCATGAGGTGCAATAAATAAATAAATAAAGAGTGCCAGTGCACCACGCTGACAGGCCCTAGGGGCCGGAGTGCAAAAATATTGCCCCGGACTAGCCATAAGGCCTGTCTCGGAAGCGAAGTGCAGAAAATGCAATGTGGTGTGTGTCCTAGTGCTGCAGTGAGTCATGTGTGGTCCCACACCCAAGTGGGGACAACACCACGGGCCAGACCCAGTGTTTCTCCGTTCATACCAGGAGGTAGTGCCATCGGGGGTCCTCCCGCTGTCTGGGGTCTACCTGTAAACCTCAGAGCCTGACGCAACCAGCAGCGGACCGAACCATCCTCTGACACCCACCAATTACGCCAGAGGGTACTCGAATGCTCTCCCATAGGGCAGCAGCATCCTTTCCCCTCCAACAACTGATAAGAACAGATACTACACTTGATCTTAGCCAAAAGGCCGAGAAGCGATACTTCTTCCTGATACTTAGAGCCAGTGTGGGACACTGCAGGTGTCACATGCCGACTCTATATAGCGAGACGATCGCTCAGCTCACAGCCTCCTCCCTACGGAGAGCAATGATGATCGGTCCCCACTCCCCACATGGAACCTCCCCTCTCTGCTCCTCCAGTACTCATTAAAGGTTCAAACATGGTAGCACAGCTGGCTCTAGGGAGGCAGAGCCAGTTGTCAATCAGGCAGCGCATGGATCCCAACAATACTGGTCTGCTAAATGCCGACTTTGGGTCACAGGAGTACATTAACAAATGCCCAGTTACACCAGTACCTGGTTGTCCTTTTTACTTTGCGCAGGAGGCGGGGCTTTGGTCTTTTGCCCAACATCAGTAAGGAAACTAGACCACAGATCATCTGCACGCTTCTTTTTTACTTCTTCCAATTTCTTTTTCTTTTCCTCATCCATGTTGAAGTCATTGTCTTCCTCAGAATTCTGTGCTTTGTCTTCATTGTTCTCGGTGCCTTCCTCAGAGTTTAGGACTAACACTGCTTTCTTCCTCTTCCTTAAACAAGGCAGCAAAGTGTCAGTAGCATACATTTCTTCAAGGGTTAGTTCATCTTTATAATCAAATCTCCCATGCATTCCAGCATCCACAGTACATTATTTCACCTTTATGAGTTCACCTTTTTTTATATAATAATATATTTATTGCATTCGACTCAACAAACCAGAACGGACACAGATGTAAACAGGCGCACATCTGCTTACATCCAGCCACCCATACAGTCCATTTTTTTATCTAATCATTGGTTAAAAAGGGACTAACAAAACGTCTTTGTGAAAGGGACTTAAGAGCATACAGTTACAGGATAAGGGCAAGGGCCCCAGATCCAAAGGCGATTGTCAGGCAGCAATTGGGCTTCCATAAAAGTGCAAAAACATCCTTTTCAAATTGACACTTACACCCTGTAGCCAATTAGGCTAGAACTGGTTCCAGTTTATTCACATAGACCAGGGGACTGCAAATGGCAGACCGCGCGGCTGGTCCGTCTGAACCGTGACTGCCAAAGGCATCTGGTGTCCCGCTGAGCACTGAAGAGGACAGGACAGTATCTTCCATTCTCTTCAGCTGCCCATAGTTGTCTCCGCCTCCCGGCTTCTATACTCCGCTGTTCTCGATTCCTCCCAGGTCCACCTCCAGGCTCTCTTAGGCTTGCTGCTCTGCCTCTGGCTTTGCCCAGCTCCACCTACTGGCTCTCTTTCTTGACTTCACCTCCTAGCTAAGGTACCCCAAAGAAACATGTGAGGACACTAAGAAGCACTCCGATGGGGACAGCCAGTACAAGGGGACACTCCAATGGGGACAGCCAGTGCGAGACTGAGATGGGGACAGTCAGTGTAAGGGGACACTCTAATGGGGACAAACAATGTAAAGGGGCACACTGGGATCGTCACATAATCACTATGTCTGGGAGAACACACCAGCAGCTGTGCATTGCAGTGCAGCTGCTGATGTGAATGCATCCTAAATGGCGGATCGCGGTCCAGAAATGGACTAAGACTACCCCAAGACAGCAGAGAAAAGGAACACAGCAGAGAAAGGAACATAGGAATGTCCTATGCTCCTCAGCTCCATCTAGTGGCAGTAATGCTGTGCAAATGCTGGGCAGATGTTTTATACATCAGTCCCTTATGTATTTGGGTAGTTGATATTAGACAGCTGCCAACTAGACAACTCGACTTTATGTAATCACCAAAATGAATAAAAATTTATATACAGATTCTTGAACCAGATTAGAACTGTGGTCTTAAACCCAACTGTGGATCCCCCTTTTTGGGTACCCCCCATGGAAATCTTCCTCCTCTCCTCATGGTGGCT